TTAAAAAATAATTAAAATTAATTATTCAATATCATTAAAATATTAATTTTAGTTATTTTATTTAAAATAAATAATATGACATAGACATATCTGTAAGCTTATAGATCCGATATATAATAAAAAGTCTTGTCCTGCTTTTTAAATAGACTTATTTAAAAGCTTAAATTTATTTTATTTGACTATATGTAATAGATCGAATCTGACTTGATGTAGGCTGGATTGTAGGTTAGTGTTAGATCACCTGATCCATTTACACAAGATATCACTGTTCTTAAGAATCGAATGGCATATTCAACGCACATTTTTTATTTTTCCAATATGATAAATAAAACAATTATCTAAAAAATATAATCTACTAAAATAGCATTGTATAAAAATATATTTTAATTTTTCATTTTATATGAGATAAAATTATTTTATGCACGTACACAAAATGGGTGAGATTTATCTATTTTCTTTCTCTCTTAGTATTTTTAATATTATAACCTACCATTTTTTCTGCCTACATTTGCCTACCACTCTAAAATATCAATAGATCACAATCTTAACTAACATTTATTTTTCTCTCTCTTCTTGAGATTCTGATCTAACGGTATTGGATGATAGTAGACAAAGATAGGCAGAAAAAGTGGTAGATAGAAAACTTATCCCTAAAAAAGTCTGCGGCATAGTAACTTTGTGCATACACTACTGAGCCGTAAATAAGGCTGAGTTTCATCCAAGAGACTAAACCAACTTAGAAGAAGGAGATATGTTCTTGAGTTCACACTAACGTAATTTCTATGTTAGAGAAATCTCTAGGTGATATGTATTACTTCGTCACTTTTATTGATGATCATACTAGAAGAGTGTGAATATCTTTATTGACCACAAAAGATCAAGTACTCAAAGTATTTAAGGAGTTACACACAAGAGTTGAGAAGGAAATTGGAAATAAGGAGAATATCGAGGTTCATTCCAAATGTATATAAGGGTGGATACCTTAGCTGAACGACGTAGTCGAAAGAATGTATAAGACAATTGAAGAGTGAATTCGTAGCATGTTGTCTAAAGCCAAATTTACCAAGACATTCTAGGGAGAAGCTATTAAGACTGCCATAAATTTAATCAACTTGTCACCATCAAGTCCTCTAGAAGAAGAGATCCTAAAGAAGTTTGGACAGGTAGAAAGGAAATATATGAGCATCTGGAGGTGTTTGGATGTAGTTCATTTATGCACATTCCCAATGATGAACGAGCAAAGTTAGATGCAAATATCAAGGAATGTATCCACCTTGACTCACCAAAGGGATGTGGTGTTCGGTATAGAGTTTGTAGCTTAGCCCATTTGATGGTAGATCTCCCCCTACCATAGGCTCCCTCATTACCCAACATTGGTATTAGTGTCCTATGAAGCATCGACACTTCAAAAATCCTAACGTGTCGTGTCCGACACTCTCCGATACTCCTACACTCTCCGACATTTCAACACACATTCCAGAGACTTAAGAAAGAATTCAAATGTTGCGTTGCGTTGCGTTTTTAGTACCAACTATTAGATTCGTTAGATTACGATTACCATTTGATTGAGTTTAATATAAATATTTAGGATATCTTATGTTTTTTTGCAAAATTGATTGGTATTATAAGTCTAGCTTCACTTTTTTGTTAAATTATTGAATATTAAATATAATATACACTACATAAATTAAAAATGTTATTTAATATCAAAACATGTCAAAATTTAACATTTTTTAGAATTTAATGTGTCGGAGTGTCGTGTCGTATCGTATTTCGTGTCCTGTGTCGGTGTCGGTGCAGGTGCAACATAGTTAGTGTCAATGGTTGATTGACCCGTGTGTATGAGTATTAGGAGATGGTGGTGGTTAGTGTTCGAGTTTGTCAGCCTTCTAAAACTATGATGAGGAACCAATGTCTTGATGAATGGAGTGAAGTCTTGATGTAATCTCATGAATACTCGAAAAAGCCTATGCTTGAAGAGAAACGAATATGGGCCTAAGACTCGCACTTAAAGGGAACGAATGTTGAGAATGAGACTCCAATTGTGACTAGTGAAGCTCCACATTAGTTAGTAATATATTAAGTGATGACGATATATAAAAAAAAAAACTCATAAGTAAATGTTGATTTTGGATTAAGATGTGGTGTCCGAGACCATTTATGATAAAAAAAAATCACGTAGGTTTTTTTTTTTTTTTTTTGATAACAAAATCACGTAGGTTTTATATCCCCTTTGATTGTCGATTTCCCCGTACCATAAATTCCCTTGTTACCCGATACTTTGCAACATTGAAGTGCAAAATTCAACAGCTTCTTGTTGGCGTCCGGGTAGAATCTTTGTCGCGTGCCTTATGTTATTCTCCTGGAACGTTTGGATCGTTGGATAGAAAAAAAAGAAACAATGGCATTGTCATTGCCATGAGATATGGTGGCGAAGTTGACCTTTCGGTGATACGCTTTCACCGCAATTATTTTGTTCCGCTAAATCAATATACGCTACCATTAATTCACCATTAATGTAGTATTAATGACTTTTCCTATTATTGTTTTTTTCTTATTTGTACACCTACTTAAGTAGGAAAAGTATGGGAAAAAAAAATCAAATTGATGGCAAAAGCTACAGTTGCAATAACACTCTACCCGTGAACGTCATACTTATATGCGGGAACGTCGTCATACCATTCTTTGAATTCAGTAGAACAATCAACATTTTCTTAGATTGAAGGCGTTTCTCAAGCTGCATGAGATAATTTTATCTCCGGCTACTAAATCATAATCGTACAAGAATGAATATCAACGGTGATAAAAGAAGAAAAAGAAAATCATAACCATTCAAAAGTGAATCAATTAATATAAATAAATAAATAAATAAAACGACGTATATGATGCATTTGTCTTGCACACATGGTATGCCCACTGTGCAAATTAATTATGGGGCAAGCAAGGAATTGAACCCTGATTAGTATCGTGTGAGGGTACTATAATACTAATACATCATTTACACCTTACAGTAAATTTGCAATTTATTTATCTTTTATATAAGATTACTGCATGGATCTCTATCTTCTCCAAACGTTACCATGTCATAAATTAGATGTATTATTTCACGTGACACTATGCAAAGGATTATGTGCAATGACATTTTGTACATGTGATATGTTTACGTGTACAAAATTTCCTCATTTTTTAATTGTATTTTTAAATTTTTTAAATTTTTTAAATTTTTTATAATTTTTTATTCACCATTTTTAAAAAAATGCCCAGATCATATTTAATTTACATTACTTTTTAAGTAATTGTTTAAATGATTTAATTGAATTTTATTGCAGAAATAATTTTATATTTTTAAAATTAAGGATGCAAAATTGAAATTTGAGTTTTTAAAATATAAATTTTTATCTAAAATTTGTCTCCGTTTTCTATTTATATTTGCAAAGGAGGAGAGCGGTGACTAATGTTCGTGCTTCACAAAGATTGACTTACAGAGTTCATTTTTATAAGTTCGTAAGGGATAAGCAAAATAATTAAACAATTTCCCTTTTAACAAGAAGAGTTTTCGAGAAATTTTTATTATTATTTTAGTAGATGAGAAAAAATTATTTTAAGGTATGAGATTTAGAGTTTGCGTAATAATATAATACTTTATTTGTTGACAAATTATTTTAAGGTATGAGGTTTAGAACAAATAAATTTTTGTTGTTATGACAAATTAAAAAGTAATAATTTGTTCACCAAAACAAAAAAAGTAATAATTTTACTGAAAAACCAAGAAATGTAACATACATATCAAAATGTAAAGTAACATCCACAGCCAGAATTATTCGTCAATTTTTTTTTCAGAATTTTCCAAAAATTGATGAAAATGATTAAATTAGCTAAAGTAGTAGAAACAAAACATCCATCCAAAAATTAAAAACAATGTTAAATCACTGGTAAAAATTTTAGAGACAAAATCTAACTTTATATAATTTTTCTAAAAAGTGTTTAGAAAATACCATAAAAGAGAACCTAAGAAATAGTTGTTTTGAACTATCATAGTTTGTCCAGTTACTCTTTAAAATAACATTTTTTAATAGCTAAGATTGGTAGTTACAATTTTAGGATTGTAGTTTTATATAATTATTATGAGAGAATAAGAATAAATATTAATAAATCAATCTCACATAAATAATTTAAAAGTATTTTAAAGGTTATATGAACACTCACAAGTTATATAAGTTTAGATTAATTTTAATTATACATACATGATTTAATAGTCAATATTTTATTAATTTAATAAAAATTAATATCGAAGCAATGATTAAATTAGTTCAACTAAATAATAATTGAACCAAAAATATAACCAATTTACAGTCCAATCAGCCAACCCCATTAAATTTTCAAAAAACTGAGATTTATAATTCTCAGAAAGCCAGTTATCTCACTTGATATTGATCCCTCCTCTCTAAGCAAAAACATACTACATTTATAAATTAAAAAAAAAAAAAGTACCTCCATCTCGTTCTATTGGCTTAAATTCGGTGTAGCATCAAATAATTTTTTACACTGATCTACATTCCATATCTTATTTGCTTCTTATGTTAGGATGTAAACTGGCACTCGAGGGATAAAGATCCCCCAACACAAGGCAAGAGCTTAATCCACCCTACCCTTATCAGCAAAAACCCTACCATGGCAACTGGTTTGTAGGACGATAAATTAGTTAGTGGATTTCTGCGCTCAAGTTCAACTCCGTATGATGATATGGTCTCCAACTTAACATGTTGCATCATTCACTGTTACGCAGTTTAATAACATTAAAATTGAACTGTCAGGATTATGAGGCCTACCCAAACTCTTTAGCCTTCGGAAATTTCACTTCAGAGACGGCAACCCAGATTGAACGATAATGTGTACTTTTATCCCATGTTCTTTCAGCAACAGTCATACAATGTTAAATAGCAATCAATTACGTCAAGCTCATTCAAGGGCACACAAAAGTTTAGCAACATGCCAACATATAAGACCATAATGCCAATAATTATCAAAGATATATGATACCACTATTTGACTGCAAACAAAGATTCTACAATACTAAGCTGACAACGAAGCATGAAACTATCTAAATGAATAAAGGACTGGTAAGTTAATAAAGGACTGATAAGTTATCACAACATAAGTTTCAGAGCTATATCACTACTCCACTAGTAATTTGCTGAAATTAAATTTAGTCCTGCCACGACCCCGTATTACAATTAGTTGGCCCTTCTGCCTTTTTTCATCAAAGACTGCAATCATTCTTCTGCAGGGGGTGACTGGCTGCATTATCAGAAATATACACAATTAGAAAATCGTAGATATGAAATGTATGTAAAGAAGGCTGAAGAAAATACATAAGAATAACAAAAACTCTAAGCAATAAATATATATTTGCAAACCTGCGGTATCTTTCATGCACGGGACTTTCAGGACCACCATAGTTGGGACTGTCCCTCGGCTCAGGCATAGTATTTGGGCTCCCTTCATAACCATTGTAAGGGCTAGAATTCCCTTTTGCATCAGGACTATGTCTGGAGTCATGGCCGTTTCCAGGGCTAGCCTTCACATTATCATATGGACTACGGCTAGAACCACGATCATTTTGAGGGCTAGTCCTCTCTCCTTCATCAGGAGGACTATGGGAGGGAACAATGCCGCGGTCAGTTCTCCCTCGCTCTTTGTGATAAGGACTGCGGCTGGAGTCACGAACACGATCAGAACCATCCCCCTCTCTTCTATATGGACTAAGGCTTCTACCCCCATAAGCAGGGCTACCTCGCTCTCTCCGATGCGGGCTTCCACTACGGCTACGGCCACGACCATAGTCAGGGCTGCTCCTCTCCCTCTTATATGGACTGGCACCATGGCCATAATCAGGACTACCCCTTTCTCTACGGTAAGGACTGGGTGATCGCCTTCCATCGCGGCTTCTATACCGTTGACGATCATGGCCTCTCTCAGGGCTATATCCATTTCGCTTATCATCGTCATCTTTAACAGCAAATTCAACTGAAATAACTCGATCAAGTAACTTGCTGCACATCGGAATTTGAAAAGAATTCACATTATCATTCCAGTGGTATGTCAATCTAGAACTTAAAATGAAGAGCATCCATCATGATAACATAATATTTGGTCATACAACTAACTGACCAAAGGACACAGGTATACGGACCAAGCTATAAACCCAAATCCATCTGAATATAAAAATTGTCAAGCAATTACTAGAGGACAACAGATTTGAAAAAAAGAAAAAGTCTCGACCAAGACAAAGACACTTGTAATTTCCTGTTAGAAAAAAAAGTTACAAATACACTGAATTACCTCATATTAGTAGCTTCAAGTGCTCTGCTAGCATCATCCTCTGATTCATACTGAACAAAAGCAAAATTCCTTCTGATCCTCACACTGACTATCTTACCATATGGCTCAAAGTGCCTTTCCAAGTCCCTTGTTCTGGTATGGTATGTATCAAAATTAATTACAAATAAGGTCTTGGATGGCCTCCCATTAGCTGAAGATCTTCTTGAACCAGCAGGCCTTCTAATGCCACGTTCTTGCTGCAACACAGTACATTCAATGACGATGGAAAACATAGCGAGTAACAACATAATAATAAGCAAATGTCTAAGATAAAAATGACTAATTATGTGTTACCTTTGTCCATTCCACACGAAGCCTGCGCCCCTTCCGACCAAAGTCTGCCCGATCAAGAGCACGAATTGCAGCCTCAGCATCTCTCTCATCTTCCATATAGATAAAAGCAAATCCTACAGACCAGGCAAAGTTTTATCAATTAAGTTTTATAAATTAAAACTTATCATAAAGCTGAGAAGACAAAATCCGGTCCATCTGTCCAATCAAGGAACACTCCACTTCTGATGCGGGACATCTGATCCTTCAGCTATGCACAAACAATCTCAACACTTACGACTCGGAAATTAAAATTTTGGTAAACCTCCTGATTTCTATAAACTACTTTGACCAATAGAATTAGTACAGACCTTGAGTAATAAACAAATTGGATTCAAGAACAAGAATCCAAAAGTGTAGGTCTCATTGTGGGTCAATGGAAAGTGAGTGCCTTCTCCATCTATTCTGCTGCCTCTGCTGTGAGGTTGGCAATAATTCAACCTCGAAACATGTCCGAAAGTGAAGGCTGGGCAAAAGGCACAAAAATTGAAAGGCAAATGTGACTGAGGAATACATGGAACGGTTGTGCCATTGCAGATCAAATTGAATGATTCTTCAATAAAAGAAGAAGATGTGCATCACAGGCAGGAAACGGATTTCTGAAAAGCCCATCCATTAGCTTGGGAGTAAATGGATATGCCAAGATAATCCTGCGCCAAAGAAAATGTTGAGTATGGGGGTTGATGCTTCAAAAAACATGATTTTTTACTTAAAGATATCTTGAAACCCCCACAAATGCTCAACAATGTGCCGTACACCAAGGTCCAACTCTTGAAACTGAATCAATGATCTTGGAAGATATTATGTAGACCACAGGTTGTGATGCCAAACCTCAGATAATGTCTCTGATGCTACTCCCAGGCTGGATGCCTTAATGGTATAATTGAAAATGTGCAACGTATGCAATGTTTATTTCTTGTTCCCATCGAGAACTTGGTGTTCTGGATGACAAACCATAGAGGTACTTTTACTGTCAAGTGTTTTTAGTTCTCAAGTTGAATACTTAAATTATAAATCAACCAATTTACAATTCTATAAAGCTACATCTTGTTACCCGGACAGTTCTTGACCAAGACGAATATTCTCCCACCATAACTCGTCCGGAAATCCCCAGGAGCAGATATGGTAATATAGAATTTTGTTTAATTACTGAATTCAATTATATGGATATTAATTCAGTCCAAAGTTACCAAGTAACAATAAGCTCCGTTCTTCTTTAACAATTGGATTGAACCAAACAAAGCAGCAATCTGGTCTAAAACTCATGTATAAAAGATAACTATTATCAACAAAAAAATAATTCTAATACTAAAAAACCAAAAAGTCCAAGTTCAACCTCAAACATCCAGTCCATGATAATTTGCCCCACCAAAAAATAAACAAGAGATTGAGAAATTATTAAGGTATACATCTTAAAATGTACAAAAGAGATTTAAAGAAAGAAAGAAAGAAAAACTTACCAGACTTCATATCCACCCGATCAACCTTCCCATATCGTCTGAAAAGCCGCTCCAGCTCTGACTGCCGTGCATCATATTCAAAATTTCCACAGAAAATAGGCCTCATTTTCCCCGAACACAAGCTGAGAAACATTCAACACTTAATGCCACATTGTGCAAGTATGGATGAACATAACACGCATAATTGTTAAATTAAGAAAAAATCATTTGAGATCTAACTAGAGAATACACAAAAACCCTTGAAGCTTCTACTCATGTTTTTCCCATAAAACGGAAAATTAAACTATTACTGCTATTAGAAAACATTTATGAGAAAATCAAGCATCACATTTAGATGCTGCAATAGAAAAATGAACAGTAACATAATACCAACAGTCCAACACAAACAGCAACAACAAAAAAAAGGGCTATATAATTTTGGACATGCATACTTGCTGTATCACAAATCGAAGCAAAAGTTAATCTTAAATCCAAAACCCATTTTAAAAAAAAAAAAAAACAAAGGGGTCGAGCACAATTAATAGAGAAAAAATGGGTGGGCAAAAACAGATAGAAAGAAGCTTTCTTTGCAGAACAGAACGAGGAAGAGTTTTCAGATCTAGATTAGGCAACAGGAAGAGATTCAAAACCAGTTTGCTGGCGAGAACCACAAAGGAATCAAAAAACTTGAATCGAAGGGTTCAAGATCTCAGATCTTGAATTTTCCTGCAACTTGGTAAGAAGCGAAAGGAACAATTTTGAATAAAAATTGAGACTAAACATGAAATTTGTGGATGGGAATTGAATGAATCGAGTAGCGATGGATTACCTTGCATGAGAATAAGAGGTGTTGGGTTGGAACCCTAAGCAGAGCAAAGTGAGTCACGGATATTTTTGGGTTTGACCTACACAAAGATGCGGATCTAAGCATAAATACAAGGTGATGAATAGATGGATGACATTATCTATTTCTTGGTTTTGCCCAAATGCCCATGAACCTTTTATATTTTGTGAACTAGTCCATTTATTTGCTGTTTTTTTATTACATCAATTTGGTGGGGACAAAAGTAAACCCACAAATAAAGAACAATTTAGAAATATTCGTATAATATATTTTATTTTGGTAATATATATTAATGATTTTATTTCCTTTTTTTGAATCATTTTTCAACACCCTTCATTACATATATTCATTATTTTTAATATTTTTTTTAAAATAAATGACATCAATATATTAAAATAATTATTTATAAGTACATGTGAGGAATTAGCCTTCTCACGTTATATATCGGATATGATCCTTTGACATCAAATCTTAACCGCTGATTTTTGTCAAATAAACTTATTAATTAATTATTAATTCTTAATAAATGATAAACGTTGATTAGCGTAAATTAAAGGTTAGGATTTGGTGTTATATTCAAAGTTTGACACCGATATCAAACGATCATGTCTCATATATATATATATATAGAGAGAGAGAGAGAGGTAGGATCCTTTGACACCGGTGTCAAATTTGAAATTTGACACCTCATCTGAGAGCCGTTAGATCAAAAAATTTCAATGGTGTCACATGCTTACAAATCAGAGCCGTTGATATTTTTTGATCTAAAGGCGCTTAGATGAGGTGTCAAATTTCAAATTTGACACTGGTGTCAAATGATCCTACCTCATATATATATATATATATATATATATATATATATATATATACATGGGATAGGTTATTCTACTTATCATTATTTCTGCCTACCTCTCCAATACCGTTAGTTCATAATCTTAACTAACATTCTTCTTTCTTTTTCTTCTTGAGATTCTGATCTAACGGTATTTGAGAATGGTAGGCAGAAAAAATGGTAGGTAGAATAACCTATCTCTCTCTCGCTCTATATATATATCGTTGATGGACGAAAATCATCGGTTGGTATTGTAGTATAATTAATGATTAATAGTATTAATTAATTCGTATGACTTCCTAAATTATCACCGTTGGATGCACAAAAATCAACGGTTGAAATGTAGTGTAACACTTATTAGTCTTACACTGGTGAAAAATGATTCTGATTAGGGTTGTTTGTGTTGAAACAAAGGTAAATAAAACCAGATCGAATCATTTAACACTACGTTTGTTAGATCACATTTGGAATGAGAGAGGGAGAGTCTATTTAATGGAATCAAAAAGCCTTTTCCCATCTCTGTTGGTTTAGGTTTCAGCGAGGCCTAGATTCTGCACAAAGATGGGATCAATCATCAGTCATCGACAAGCAACACCGCCGTAAAAAGGCAACAAAATCAAAAATTCAAATATACAGAAACCACCCTAAGATGGGAAAAGGACAAAGTTATCAATTTCATTCTGAGACGGAACGTGCTACATGAACCCTAACATGCTCTGGCAAATTCTATCACTTTAATTTATATACTCCAATTAACTTGTTCTTTTCCAATTCAGCCCTTCTCAGAATACAAGTGCATGGACAAAGGATGAAGAATATTTTCGTAATCGTAAAATGTAGACTTGCGCGTCTTCTTCATCGCACACAAGCGAGGAGAGAGAAAGGGTGGAGTTAGAGAGAGAGAAAGAGCAGAGTTAGAGAGAGAGAAAAAAGAGTAAAAGGGTTTTATTTATCTTTTGAATCTGAACCGTTGAGATTGTAATCCAACGATGTTGAGAGAAGTAGGTAAAGGTAGGCAAAATGGGAGTAGGCACAATAACCTATCCCATATATATATATATGGGTTCGCTTTTTCTAAAGTCAATGTAGATATCTTATCTACAGTGAGCCCAAGATGACGTCGTTTTGAGGTGGAAATCAAGGTATTTTTGTAATTATAATTTATTTCAAGGTTATAATAGTCTTTTTCATTATAATTTTTTATTTTTTAACCCAAAACGACGTCGTTTTGGGAGCGAATGTAGGTAACTTATTTACATTCACTTTAAAAATATTAAAGCCTATATATATATATATGGACAAGTTCTTTTTACACTGTCTTACACCGTATCTCAACTGTTGATGGACAGAAATCATCGGTTGGTATTTGTAGTGTAATTAATGATTAATTAATACGCATGACTTCCTAAATTATAACCATTGGATGCACAAAAATCAACAATTGAGATGTAGTGTAACACTTATTAGTCTTACACCGGAGTAAAAGGATCCTGATCCATATATATAGAGGTGTAAATAGGTCAGGCTAGGACAGGCTTTGGCCTTCCTGGCCTAAGCCAACGTTAAAAAATGTTCAGCCTATCTGGCCTATTGGCCTATTAAAGGCTTCGTTTATAAGTCAAGCCTGGCCTATTGTTAAAAATTATAAAATCTGATATGGCCTACATGCCTTATAGGCCTCCCAATAAAGATACTAAACAAAGAAAATAATTGTATAGAGCAAAGGAAGATCCATTCATGCATGCACTTACATTTCTCATAAGAAATAAAAAATGACAAACAAGAAATAATCAACATAATACCGCAGCTCTAGAATGTATATCAGAAAGGAATAGAGTCAAAGAAATGAGAAAAATAAGAAGGAAATACAATTACTTTAAAAAAATAATGTAAAAGTGATTTTAAAATAATTATATTATAGTATTTTATTTTAAAAAATTAAATAACCCAGCCTACAATGCTTTAGGCCAGACTTGACAAATTTGGCCTATGGCCTATTTGTTAAAAGGTCTTCCTATAAGCCTACTCTATTTTTCAGAAAGGCTAGGCTAGGCCAAATATAGTAGGCCATGCCAGGCCAGCATGGCCCATTTTATGATGGAAATCATAACCGTTGATGGATGGAAATCATACATATTACACCATAGATATATGGATCAGGATCATCTTACACCGGTGTAAGACTAATAAGTCTTACACTGCATCTCAATCATTGATTTTCATGCATCCAACGGTTATAATTTAGGGATTCACATGTATTAATTAATCATTAATTACACTATAAATACCAACCGAATATTTTCATCCATCAACGGTTGAGATGCGGTGTAAGACTTGTTAGTCTTACACCAGTGTAAAAAGAACCTGCCCCTATATATATAACAGAAATCATCTTTTGCTATTTGTAGTGTAATTAATGATTAATTAATATTAATTAATTCGTATTACTTCCTAAATTATAACCGTTGGATGCACGGTAATCAATGGTTGAGATACGGTGTAAGACTTGGCAAAAAATTAAAATATTACTATTTTAATAAATAATTACAAATACATAGCTGTTTCGAAACTATCTACGAATTTATTGCACTTATTCACGCCCAAATTAGGCGTGACTCTCAAGGCATTCACGCCCAAAATAGGCGTGACTATTCACGCCCAAATTAGGCGTGACTCCCAAGGCATTCACGCCTAATTTAGGCGTGAATTATCTGATGTTGACACGTGGCAAAAAAAGTCAACTTACGAACCGTAAAACTTTGGAAAGCCATAACTTTTGACTCGAATATCCGAATGAGGTAATTCTTTTTTTGATTACACATAACTTTTCGAGGTCTACGCAATGAAATCTCATTTGATATATTTTATCTCTCACAAACACAATTCAAATTTCCAATAATTGTATTATATAGTGTATTACCAAAAAAATTAAAAAATTATTATTAATAAGAAAAACAAAATAAAGATTTAAACTCAAAATTCAATTTGAAAAATCTGTATTAATAAAAAAAATAATAAAAAAATATTCTAAACACTTGGTAGAATATTATATAAATTAGTATATATTTTAATAATTAATTACGAATAAGTTGCCGTTTGGAACTTAATTACGAATATATTACACTCATTCACGCCCAATAAAGGTACTATAACATTAAATTCAAAATTCAAACCTCCCATAAGTTGATTGCATTTTGTATTTAGTAGGAGTTGATTGTGTTTTGTATTCAATAGGAACTGATTGCGTAGTAATTTTATGAGTTGGTTACAGATTATCGCCAATTCAAATAAATTTGTTGGAGGTTATTTGAATTTTGAATTTAATGATATAGGAGTTGATTGCGTTTTGTATTTAATAGGAGCTGATTACGTTTTGTATTTAATAGAAAATTTGGTGCCATCTTATTTATAGATGAGTTAATCCACTTTCGTGCCATCTTTATAGTATTATTGTTGCAAATTTGAATTGTGTTTGTAAGAGATAAAATATATCAAATGAATGTCATTGCGTGATCTCGAAAAGTTATGTGGAATCAAAAAAAAATTACCTCATTCGGATACCCGAGTCAAAAGTTTTGGCCTTATAAAGTTTTACGGTTAAACTATTAATTTTTTGTGCCACGTGTCAAGACCAGACGAGTCACGCCTAATTTAGGCGTGAATGCCTTGGAAGTCACGCCTAATTTGGGAGTGAATGAGTGCAATAAATTCGTAAATAGTTTTCGAAACTACTATGTATTCGTAATTATTTATTAAAATAGTAATATTTTAATTTTGTGCCTGTAAGACTTATTAGTCTTACACTTGTGTAAGATAATCCTGATTCTCTCTCTCTTTATATTTATATATATATATATATATATATATATATATATATATTGGATCTAGCCAAAAGAATAATTGAATGCTTGGCTGATAAATAACTCACTTCTTGGTCTTCGACCGAACAATTATACAATATCTGCCTTATGTAACACGTTGAGATTATTTAGCAACTATGTTCACAGAAGCAATAACCGTAAACGTACCGGAATAGTTGGGAAACATATACCATTATACCTACAATGATTGGACATACCAT